TAAAACTCTATGTCCACTTCATGACTCCTAATGTTTTTGAATTGTGGTAAAATGTATATAAACATAATTTTTACCATTTTCATCATTTTTAAGTATATAATTCAGGGGTGCTAAGCCTACCCCAAGATTCTAAAGGCAATCTCCAATCATGACTTCCTTCTTTCAATCTTATGTTTATTGGCATTTGCCTGCATGTATGTCTTGTGTGAGGGTGTCAGATCCCCTGAAACTGGAGTTACAGACAGTTGTGAGCTGCCATGTAGGTGCTGGAAATTGAACCCAGGTCCTCTGGAAGAGCAGCCAGTACTCTTAACCACTGAGCCATCTCTCCAGCCCCCATGACATTCCCTTTAATGTAAGTTGAGCTTTATTGAAAATAAGTTTAAATTTGTAAAGCACCTTGTAAGCAGTGATGATTGGTGTCTATTCAATGCCTGATAATTTTTTAATATGCTTTTTGTTTGATTTGGTTTGGTTTTGGCTTAGACAGAATCTCATTCTATAGTCTAGCTAAAACTCACTATGTAGCTCAGGCTGGCCCCAAGCTTGAAATAATCCTCCCACCTCTCCTTTCCAAGTGCTGGGATTATAAACATCAAGCACCACCGACTTGGACTGGAGAGATGGCTCAGTGGTTAAGAGCACTGGCTGCTCTTCCAGAGGACCTGGGTCCAATTCCCAATGCCCACAAATGTCTGTAACTCCAGTTCCCTGGGATATGCACATCAATGCATATAAAATAAAGTTAAATAAATTATTTAAAAAAATAAGCTGCTACACCAGCTGTGTATGCTCGTTAACCCAGGATTTTACACGATCTTCCTAAACATCATTCTGAGGAGGATATTATTTCCATTTTACAGGCTGGAAAGTGAGGCCGAGAGGTGTTACATGACCCCTTTCTCCAAGGTTACCTGGACACAGAATTTGAAGAGAGGAAGTCTCACAACCATGCCACTTCTAGAAGAAACGCTACTATTTCATGTCACATGAAAGAATAAAAGTATTCTAGCCTGAGAGATTAGATAATTGGTGACTGGAAAGATCAGCCTACTTTTGAAAAATTAAAGGAAATAGCAATACATTTTTTTTTTTTTTTAAAGCAGAGTCTTATTGTATAGTCGTGGCTGTCCTGGAACTTGCTATATGGCTTTCAGACTCTGAGAGATATGCTCGCCTCTGCCTCCTGAGTGCTGGGATTAAAGGTGTGCATCCCCATCGCCTGGCATAACTTCTTATCTATGGGTTCTTGTCTGAAAGTGCTACTGGAATACACTGGTGGGATGTCAACAGACAGCTGCCAACCAGGGACAGGAGCTGGACGAGGGTTTGTAAGCAGGGGACGTCAACAGACAGCTGCCAACCAGGGACAGGAGCTGGACGAGGGTTTGTAAGCACAGCAGCCAGTGACACTTAAATAAACTTCTTAAGCCATCCCCGAGTTAGCACCACACCACCCTATCCATTCTTCCTCAATGCTGAAGTTTCCAGAAAGGCCATCAAAACACAGGGACAGCCCAAAAGGTAAGTTTAGAACCTCAATCCTGGACTGTCACCCAGGCTTACAGACTGAAAACTCCATCGGTCACGCTCTGTGTCTGGTCAGGAGACTGATTTTGACTGTTTCCTGCAAATGTATGTTCATGTGTGCAATACTCCTGGAGGCCAGACAAGGACATCAGACTGCCTGGAACTGGAGCTCCAGATGGTTATGAGCAGCTATGTGGGTGCTGAGACTTGAACTTGGGTCTTCTGGAAGAGCAGCCAGTGCTCTTAACCAGCTCCAATAATACTGTTGTTTTGTAAAAGTTTATTTATTTAGTTTTTACCAGCCAGTCATGGTAGTGCAGACATTTAATCTCAGCCCTTCGGAGCCAGGTGGATCTCTGTGAGTTCCAGGTCGTTCTCATCTGCATAGCATTTCCCAAGCCATCCAGAGCTGTGTAATGAGACACTGTCTTAACGTTTGTTTTTGATTAATTTAGTCTGTGTATGGAGTGGGAACATTCATGCTACAGTATGCATGTGGACCTCAGGAGAAAAGTTATAGGTGTTGCCTCTCTCCTTCCACAGTGTGCAGCCCCCTCTTCCCGCTGAGCTATCCTGCCAGCCCATGTTGTTATTATTGTTATTATTATTTTTAATAGTCATTGTTTCACTTGTTCACTCACCCAGCTGACGTCCTCCCTGAAGACTTCTGAGAGTCAGATTATGAATGAAGCAATTAGGAATCACTGGAGTTCTGGACAGGGAAGCAACAGGATTCGACAGGATTTTGGCAGAACTGTCTTCTGGATGTCTGGACAGAGGTCACCTGAGGAAATGTCTAGGGTTGGGGCTGATGTTCTTTATGTATTATGCACAGTCATTTCTTTATTTGCTATACTTAAAACTCTATGTCCACTTTATGACTCCTAATGTTTTTGAATTGTGGTAAAATGTATATAAACATAATTTTTACCATTTTCATCATTTTTAAGTATATAATTCAGGGGTGCTAAGCCTACCCCAAGATTCTAAAGGCAATCTCCAATCATGACTTCCTTCTTTCAATCTTATGCTTATTGGCGTTTGCCTGCATGTATGTCTTGTGTGAGGGTGTCAGATCCCCTGGAACTGGAGTTACAGACAGTTGAACGGCCAGGTTTGGGAACAGTTTTTCTGATTTGTACTGTATTAAAGAAGGCTGTAGTAACCAGTTAATGTGACCTCAACAGTGGGCGGCTGTACTAACCAGGTGAGAGGCAATAAGATACAGAGACAAAGAGATGCACACTTGAGTCATTCAGACAGAAGAGGTGATGCTCCCCACTTGCTCCTCTCATAAGAGAGCCCTAAATAGTTTGTTTATTTATTTATTTATTTTTGTTTGTTTGTTTCTTTGAGGCAGGGTTTCTCTGTGTAACAGCCCTGACTGTCCTGGAACTTACTCTGTAGACCAGGCTGTGCCACCACCACCCAACTGAATATTTTGTTTTTAAAAACTGGTTTGGAGGCTCAGTGGTAAGCGTGCTTTAGAAGACCTGTATTCAGTTCCCAGCATCCATGTTGGGCAGTCCATGAGAGCCAGGAAGTGTAGCTGACCTGGGAGGGAACCTGTGCACACATTTAGCACAGACATATACACATAAATGCAAATTTTATTAACTTTTAATTTAAATTTTATTAATTTTATGTGGTGTTTTGCATACATGTATGTTTGTGTGAGAGTGCCAGATCCCTTGGAACTGGAGTTATAGATGGTTGTGAGCTGCCATGTGGGTGCTGAGAAATGAATCCACATCCTCTGCAGGAGCAAACAGCGAAATTGTACTCTTAACCCCTGAGCCATTTCTCTAGACTCTGTCTCTGTCTGTCTGTCTGCCTGTCTGTCTCTCTCATATATTTGGTTTTTCCAGTCCTGGAACTCACTCTGTAGACCAGGCTCTCCTGAACTCAGAGACCTGCCTACCCCTGCCTCCTGAGTACTGGGATTGAATACACTACCACTGCCTGGCTTAAATATGTTTTAAAATGAAAACTTCTGTTTTTCTACTTCGTGTGTGTGAACATGGTGCATAGAAGTGTAGGAGTTGCTCCTTTGAGGCCCACTCTCTGAATGTGTCTAGGGCTTGTGATACCCTGCGAGGCTGGCAGCCAGCAAGCCCAGCAACCCTCTTATCTCTGCCACACCCTGGGGTTACAGGTGGGCAGGGCAGGACACTGACTTGTTATGTGGTGTTGGGATCTGAACTCAGGCCCTCATGGTTCACAAGAGCTCTTGAGAGAGCCATCTCTCCAGCCCCTTAAGTAGTTCTCTTTCCTCTCTCTTTTTCTCTTCTTTCCTCCCTTCCTCCCTCCCTCCCTCCCTTCCTCCCTCCCTCCCTGCCTCCTTTCTTCCTTCCCTTCTTTCTAAGACAGGGTTTCCCTGTGTAGCCCTGGCTGTCCTGGAACTCACTCTGTAGACCAGGCTGGCCTCCAACTCACAGAGATCCCCCTGCCTCTGCCTCTGCCTCCTGAGTGCTGGGATTAAAGGCGTGTGCCACCACCAGCCCAGCTCACATTTCTTTTTCTTTGCACTTGTTTTGGAGATTGCAATCTCCTCAGAAAGTGTTCCAAGCCTTCTAATTTTCTTTCCCTTTCATAAATCCAGGAGCCAAACAAGGGACAGCCAATAAGGGCTTACAAGTTTTGAAGCATTTTGTTCTCAGGGGCCGGATACATCGGTGTAGGAGTAGATTCCATTAGACAAGTTCAGACTGGGAGGAGAAATGGCAAGTCTTAAAGACTGGATCACCCTGGGGAACTTCTCCCCGACCTGAAGACACAGAGCCCAGAGGGTGACCCCATTTTTCTCTCCAAAGTTTTTACTGGGCGTCAGAGCAGACAGTTCAGGAAACTATAAAGAAACCCTAACAGCGTGAGGGCCGCCCCCTCAAATATTAACATCAACAACTCAGCAGTAAAATTCGTATTACATTCATCTCCTTCCTCCCACAAGCATAGATCCAAAGCTAGGAGACTGAAGTGACCAGAGCCCTTCTTCAGGGCCCAGCTTGCTCTTCCTTATCCCGGCCTGGGTTTCACAAGGAAACTGACACCCCAATCTCTGGAAGTGGGCAGCAGCGGCCCAGAGTACCGCCACTTGTCTCACTGCCAAGTAGGCGATGATGAACGCGAAGTGAGGCAATGGCTAGGGCGGTTGTGCCAGAGGTGGGCTGGTCTGCCTGGGTATTCAGTGAAATCAAGGATTGGGGCAGGGGGTGTTTATGAGTCAACTGGAGCTGATGACGGAATTAAAAGAAAAAAAAAAAAAAAAAAAAAAAAAAAGGAGGGAGGAACTGGGAGGGGCTACTGGGAGGGATTACTGGACCTGGGGCATCCTTGGGGAGGTGCCCTTGAGGAGCGATCAGTCAGAGAGGTGGATGCGGATGAGGCTCAGGGGCGGGCCAGAGATGACTCTTGGCTAAGATTGGATATCTGCTGAGGGCGGGAGCTGGCCTTGCACAGCCTGGGTCCCCAGTTTAGTAATGGGGATATATACGGCCAGCTGCGGCCAGGACAGCGCGAGCGGGCAGGTCAGCAGCGCACGTGCCAGGCTCCTGGGCCCTTCTTCCTACGCACAAGTCCTTTCTGTCCTGGTTTTCTTCGTCCGGTCCTGAAACCCACTCCATCTTCGGCTCTCTTGGCTGTCGCCCAGCCCCCACCCCAAGCTCTGAACCTCGTCCTCTGCAAAAGCGAAATGACCACATCCATGAATTTCTCACATGGTTTGGAAGCGGAGCTGGTCCAACCCTATAACTTCGAGATGTCTCAGGATTTAAGGCCCTTTTTGGAGGAGTACTGGTGAGACTTGGTGAGGGGAAAGGACCAACGAACTGCTTTGAGGGGGGTGGAAACAGGGAGTGAACGCTGGGGTACTGGCTCCAACCCCCATCCCACCCCCTGCCCCGCTCAGTCCTTCAAGGTACATTTCAAAGTGATTAGAGCTGGAAGAAAGGATCCAGAAGTGAGAAGATGGCAAGAGGGATGTGGGAGGAGACAAAAGGAGCGAGATTGACTTGAATGGAGAGCTGTTAGGTGATCTCAGAGACAGAGGACCTGCCTGTCCTATACAGTTATCACCTTCTGCAAATGTCCCATCTTTACTGCTGTGAAAATTACTACAAAGTTCGGGACCCTTTCCAAGATTTCCCAATGTTCTCTGTCTTACCCCTAAATCTCCCCAGATGTATTCTGTGGGCTGTTTTTGTTGTTCAATCAACTCACTGTGAGCCAAACAGGCAGAAGATGTTGCTACACTCCCCTTACATCACAGCCTGAATGGAGTAGTTATTGGCTTCGGGCAGACAACTGTCATCTGCCCCATCTCCACTGAGAAAGTAATATTCACTGAAATCTTGCATGTACTAGGTACATATCTGTGAATACTGCTAACGTGTCCCCCGATCCCGTGTCCCCATACAAACAAGGAAGCCAAAATGTCACACTGGTGGAGCTCTAGAGGAGTCCCTTGGGGGAGATGAGTGGGTTTTCCTTTAAGCAGTGCCCACTTGTGAACTGCTCCCCTCTGCTCTCTGCCCTCCAGGGTAAGTTCATTCCTCATCGTTCTCGTCTATCTGTTGCTCATCATTGCGGGCCAGAAGTACATGAGAGCGCGGAAGGGCTTCAGCTTGCAGGGGCCTCTCATCCTCTGGTCCTTCTGTTTGGCTGTGTTCAGGTAAGGTACTCCTCCACCCCAAATCCTGCCTGTCCTTTAGTCCTTACATCCCTGTCTCATCCCTAAGAGTTTCTAAAATCCTCCGCTGCACGGACTTCTCCACATTACTTTGTTTTCCTTTTTTCTTGGGCTCAAGATGGCAGTCTCTGCTCTGTTCTACACCTATTTGTTTATTTAGTTAGGTTTTTCGAGACAGAGTTTCACTGTACACTAAATAGCTTTGGCTATCCTGGCTCTAGCTCTGTAGATAAGGCTGGCCTTGAACTTGCAGAGATCCACCGGCCTCTGCCTCCCGAGTGCTGGGAATAAAGGCGTGCACCACCACCACCTGGCCTATACCTTTGAAAAATGTTTGCTTTTAAAGACAGCCTCTCAAGCTGTATCTCAAACTGCTCTAATTGCTGCTATGGAACCCAGGCTGGCCTCAAACTCACTGCAACCTTCCTGCCTCCGCCTTCTGAGTTCTGGGAATACAGATTCTAGGCTCTACTCCATTCCTCTCATACTCATGAAATGCATACATCCAACACATTTATTTCTCTAGCCTTAAGTATCTTAGTTTCTGAATTCCTCTTCAAAGGCCATCAACAATTTCCCTAGCCCCTCCTTCCATCCACGCCTTTCTTCTGACTCACACCCCATCTCAAGAACCCCATTCTTGACTTAGTTTCACCTCACCCCCCCGTGTTAACTGGCCTTTTCTCAACCCTTATCTCCCCAAGAATAGTTGTTAGATCTATCAGATTGGCCACAGGATCTCAAAAGCTGGACACCCTCCCCCGCCCTCCCCCCCCAAGAGATGGGAGGTAACAGAGCTTTGATGAGAATGAGATGGGATGGCTCTTTGCAGGGAATGGGCCTTACACCTTTGTACTGTGTCTCGCTTCAGCATCCTGGGCACAGTGAGGATTTGGAGGTATATGGGAACCCTGCTGTTTACGAGGGGCCTCAAGCAGACTGTGTGCTTTGCCACCTACACTGATGACACCATAATCAAATTCTGGTCCTGTCTCTTTGTTCTCAGCAAGATTGTTGAACTCGGTGAGTATAAGGGCTTTGTCTTTGGACTTGCATTCCTCCCCAGAGTCCTCCACTTACCTGTCGCACAGAGTCCTTTCCCCACCCCTGAGAATTCCTGCAGTGTTCCCACATCCAGGGTAGTGGGCGGTGCCAGCACCGAGTGTCATGCCCTTATCTGACTCCTCATCTCTTAGGAGACACAGCCTTCATCATCCTGCGTAAGCGTCCTCTCATCTTCGTGCACTGGTACCACCACAGCACAGTGCTGCTGTTCACAAGCTTCGGATTCAAGAACAAAGTGCCTTCAGGTGGCTGGTTCATGACCATGAACTTGGGTGTACATTCCATCATGTATACCTACTACACTCTGAAAGCTGCCAAAGTGAAGCATCCCAGCACACTTCCTATGGTCATCACCAGCTTGCAGATCCTGCAGATGGTCATGGGGACCATCTTTGGCATCCTGAATTACATCTGGAGGCAGGAAGAAGGATGCTACACAACGACGGATCACTTTTTCTGGTCCTTTATGTTGTACGGGACCTATTTCATCCTATTTGCTCACTTCTTCCACCAAGCCTACCTCAGGCCCAAGGGCAAAGCTAAGCCCAAGAGCCACTGAGAGCTGGGGAGTAAGCCGGGGCCTCAGGCTTTCCTCCGTGGCACTAAGGGTTAGGTGTGGGAGAGTGACTAGGGTACCTTCCCTGTATGGTTTCCCCCATGGGACATGTACCCCGAAGTGGCAGGGAGATGTGGCAATCAAGAAATGTCACCCTTGGAATAGGATGTGCTTTGAACTTTCCGCCTTTAATGTCAAGGCCAACCAAACCCTAGGAAGGGATAGGACTGAGGCCCTTCAAATTGAATTATTTATATTTATATTTAGAACTCCTTCTCTTCTTGCTCTATTTTTTAAATTAAAGAGGTCAACATTTTGAGGGTTTGTTGTTCCAGAGGGGAAAGTGGACTCTGGAGGTGGGAAACTTGAGGGTGTGTGGATGGAGAGGCACACACAAGCACTCAATAAGAATCCTAGGCCTGGTAGGAGCTCAATAAATGTCTGTTACAGACTAGAATTTTATTGCTGTTAGAGGTCCAAGCCTCTGAAAGGAACAGTGAGAAACAAGTGCTAAAACCATAGGCGTCCTAAATTTTTGCAAAATAGTTCCCTGAAAGAAAGCATCGGAGACCAGACCTACCAGCTGTCCTCCCTGAGACCACGAGGTGGCGTCGCAGAACCAGCATAGGACGAGCTCTGTCAACTAGCTGGTCACACCAAGCTCCAGAGTTCCTCCAGGGATCCCCGCGTCCCCGTCCTGGAGGAAAGGGGTGAGGCTGGACCCTTAGAAGCTGGAGGCTCACTCCGTTCCTGCACACCCAGCTGTCCTCTTGGACAACGGGAAGGATGAAGGGAAGGAGGGCTCAGCCGCAAGTCTGAATCATCAGGCCGTTGACAGTCCGCGCACGTTTATTTCATTGATCTTTGAAAACGGGATAGGGGAAGTCTGGAGAAGGCGGGATGGGCCAAGGGTGAATTGGCCCTGGGGGAGCTAGCTGGTCCCTGTTCCTGGCCTTAGTCCCAGGGGCGCGGTCTCCGTTTAGGGGCCAGACCAGCCCTCGGGGTGGTGAGGAAAGAGACCCTCTTCGGAGCCTGCCGCCCCTCCCCGGGTGCCCAAGCACCCCTTTCAGACCCCGGGACGAGGGCAAGCCAGTTTCGGCGACCCCTGTCCGGGAAGGCTGTGAATGACTGCCCCGCCCTCGGGGATGATCCACAGACCTGCGGCTCACACTGGCCGTTCCACTGCATACTGGCAGGGGCTGAGGTTGGCGGCCGGGGGCGGCCCGGGCACGGCGGGGTAGCTGAAAGAGGCGTGCTGTTTGGCTTTGAGCCGCAGGCTAGCCAGGCTCGAGTTACACGGGTCCCGGTATACATAGGGGGAGGAGGCGGCTGCAGCGGCGGCTGCGGCTGCCGAGGCGTAAGGGCAGGACACTGCCCCGGAGGACACCGCGGCTGGAGCCAGGCCCGGGGGTGCCCCGCCCAGGCCCTGCAAGGCTCCGGGACCTGGTACGGTGCCCGGAGCAGCGGCGGCCGAGGGCACCATGGAGGCGGCGATGGAGCTGGGGGGTGAGAATACAGGCTGCGAAGCCAGAGGCCCCACGTTGACCGAGTTGAAAGCGAACGGGAAGGTCTTGGCGGCGAGCGGCGGGGCGAGCGCCTTGGGCGGCCAGTTGCCGTACGAGTAGCCGGGGTACACTTCCTCGTAGGGTGGCACCAGGCCCCCGAGCGGGGCTGCGAAGCCACCTTTGCACAGCTCCGCCTGCTGGCTGCGCTCCCGCTTCCGCCACTTGGCGCGTCGGTTCTTGAACCACACCTGCGGGCATCGGAGAAATCGGCTGTCAGGACACGCGGCCGGCTGGCTAGTGGGCCACCCAGAGGAGGCTCGAGTCCCGGCGGGGGGAGATCAGAGGGGGTGCATGCTAGAAGGGAGGAGCGCACAGAGCCAGGGGCCCCCGGCAGAGAAGCCAGCGGGAGCAGGGTCTGGGGGGCGCAGCTCGGGATCAAAGAGAGACAAGGAGAAGGTGAGCCCCGGTCCTGGGCCCGGCAAGGAACTGCTTGATAGGGAGTGGCAGGCAAGGCAGCTGGAAAGTAGGGATCCCCGGGCAGGAACTGGACCCGACGTGGGGCCAGCACCTCAGAGCCACCAGCTTCTTGGGGAGGGGGCCCGCGAGAGCAAGGCGCTTGCAGGTGAGGGCTGCGGGCCAGGCATACCCGCACGCGGGCCTCGGTGAGGTTGGTCCACACGGCGATCTCTTCGCGCGTACTCATGTCGGGGTAGCGATTCCTCTGGAAGGTGGCCTCCAGCTCCTGCAGCTGCTGGCTGGTGAAGTGCGTGCGCTGTCGCCGCTGCTTCTTCTTCAGCGAGCCGTCCTCGGGGGAGCCCCCCGGCAGTGAGGCCGAGGCCTTTTCCGAGTCTGGAGGGGGGCAGAATGAGACAGGTCGTAGGGAGCTATGGCCTGTGTGGATTCTCTGGCTCTGGGACCTCAAGGAATTCCTCAACCTCTGGCGGGCTCCCACCCAAGTTGCCACTCTGGATCCCACAAACCCATCAAGGCTAAACTGTTTTCTCTTCCACCTCCAGAAGGGGGCGCGCTCACCACTGTGCTCCTGGCCCTTGCAGCCATGTTCAGGGAGAGGAGGGTGTGGAGTGCCTGCATCTGACAGGGACAGGGCAGGGCTCCGAGCCTCTGCCTCACTGAGCAGGCCGAACTCCATGGAGGGAGGACTCTAGAGGCAAGAGAAGACACAGATAAGTTATTAGAGGTAAAAAACTAGGGACTTACGGCTACCCTGTGATCCTAGTACTCGAGAGGCAGAAGCAGGAAGATCGCCCATGAGTTTGAGCCTAGCAGACCCTACATTGTCAAAGTCAAGAATACCTAGCAAGACCCTGTCTCAAACAAAATAGCACCAACAAAAGCATGGAGTCACCAGGCTCCTAACAGAGTTCCCCACAACACTCTTGTCTCTTTTCTCATCCACTAAGATAAAGCTATCTCGAATGGTGTACTCTAGAATAGAGTATGGAGAGATGGCTCAGCACCTACGTGGCTGGCAGCTCACTATCGGTAATCACTTCCAGCAGATGCAAAGGCTTCTACCCTCCCCAGGGTCTAGGCACTCGGGTGCACAGGCATACATGCAGGTATGACACCCAAACACTGAAAATACATATAAAAACAACAACAAAAAAGAGTTGAGCAAGAGAAGCCAAATGAGGAAAAAGGTGTACACGAGAGGATTTATGCACACACAAAGACAACAGATTCACTGACTGATGGACCCGTGTCTGGTGCCACAGCTCTTCCATTTTGTTTCTTTGAGAAAGGATCTCATGTAGCTCAGGCTAGCCTTAGTCTGTGATCTCCCTGCTTCTATCTTCTCTGGGATTACAGGCCTGTGTTATCAGGTCCAGCTAAGTTTCAGTTTTATTTATTTAATTTTTGGGGTTTATTTTGAGACAGAGTTTCTCTGTGTAGCCATGGGCTGTTCTGGAACTCCTGCTCAAGACCAGGCTGGCCTCACACTCACAGAGATCTGCCTGCCTGGGCCTCCCAAGTGCTGGGATCAAAGGCGTTTGCCACCACCAATGCCCAGCTTTAAAGTTTTTCTCTTTCATTCAATTTTATTTTTTTAAAATGTCACATTTGTTTAGAGCCAGGTATGGTAATGGAGATCTACAATGTCAGTACCAGAAGGTAGAGGGTCTGGACTCTAAGAGCAACCTTAGTTACAAGAGACCCTGTTTCACAAAACAAGGGATGACTCACTTGGTAAAGTGTCTGTGACGAGAGCATGAGGACCTGAATTTGATTTCTTAGCACCCACCTAACACCACCCTGTAACTGCAGCCCTGGGGAGAGAGGGACAGGGGGACCCAGCAGTTTGCTTGGCCGCCACTCAAGCTGACTTGGCCAGCTCTAAGTTCTATGAGAGAGACTCAACAGGATGTGGGATGATTGAGGAAGAGATGATGCTGATCTCTGCCTTCACACACGTGTGCACCTTCATACACACAAACATGTACACATGTACACAAAGAATTCTTTTTGTTTAGATTTCCAGTAGAGCATCTCCAATCCGAAAGCTCTGAAACTGCAGGCTGGGGAAATGGCTCACTAATTCAGCAAATTGGTTGCTCTTCCAGAGGTCCTGAGTTCAATTCTCGGCACCTACGCGGTGGCTCCCAGCCAACTAGAAATATATTCCCATGGCATCTGATGCCCTCTTCTGGTGTGCAGACATACACACAGATAAAATACCCATAAATAAAAAGTAAGGCTTATAACTGGAAATGTACCTCCAAACTTGGAATTCAGAGAAATCCAGGTTTCAGTCAAGGACAGCGAGATTAGGGATGATCAACCTGGTTCAGTCGTTTCAATAGGTAGAACCTAAGAACCAAAGTAATTCAACTAAGTCACTGAGTCTATGAATTGCACAGTTAGGACCTGAACTAGTTCTGTGGACTCCCGAAGAGCCATTTTCAAATTGTGTCCCTTGGAGCCATCTGCAGAAGCCCTGTAGGGATTTCGAACTAGAACTCCAGCTTGGATCTCTTTAGGTCTGCTTTAGCAGTAGGGCAATTCTGCCTGTCTGGGTTACTTATGTTTTATGAAAGAATTTTGTTTGAATAAAAGGTTTCATGTCAAAACCAAGTTTGAAAACCACAAGTTGGGTTTGGCGGGATGGCTCAGTGGGTTAAAGCACTTGTTCTTGCAGAGGATCTGGGTTCGAGTCCCAGCACCCATGTGGCAGCTCATAACCATCTGTAGCTCCAGTTCCAGGGGATCCAGCACCTCTGCCTTGTCTCCACGCAGGGAAAACAGTCACACAAAGTAAACACAAATCAATAAATAAAATCTAAAAATTAAAAAAAAGAAAAGTCTAGAAAACCACAGGCACTGAGGTCCCTTCTGTTCCTTTGCTGTCTAAAGCATCCACCTCCTACTGGTCATTCTTTCATCTCATCCTGGCCTCTCACCATTCCAGGCAATATGTATGGATTCTTTAGACACATCCTCCAACACACACACACACACACACACACACACACACACACACACACTTCCTGGTAGTATTCCTCCAAAACCTAGCCTGACCTTGTCAAGGAGGCTGCCTGAGTCCCTATGGAGGGTTCCCCTGCAGGCTCCTCCTCCTGGTGGTCTCCCCCAAGACCTCTCCTGAGAGGAAAGGAAAGGGATAGTGCTGGCACTCTTGATTCCAGGAGCCTCTGGGGCACAAAACAGAAGCTAGGACCAGAGGAGAGAGCCAGGTATGTGTGTGTGGGTCTCTGTCTCCAACATCTCCCCATCATCAGGGGCACAGTGCAGGCTACACGAGGAGGCATTAATGTGATGGATTATCCCAGATCGAGATGAGCATCACTTGGCTGATCTGAATTTATTAAGAGCCTTTCTCAAGGGTGTGCAGATGGACAATGGCCAGTGTTTGTACATGGTAATGCCCCTTCAGCCAGCTCCGAGAGCACAGCTGTGCCCCACCCCAAGCCAGGGTGGCAGTAGGACAGAGGTCAAGGCAGAGGCTGAAAACAATCTTGGCTCTTTTGCTGGGGTTAGAGAGATGAGCAAGACTAGAGGGAACCCAGGAAGAAGGGGAGAAGTCGGACCAGGGGTGCAAGTGTTCTTAGTTTACCTTCCAGGTCTGAGCTGGAGCCAGAGGCCTGGGAATAGGAGAATTTAGGCCTGGCAACTCTCCCTTGGAATGGAGATGGCCTTGCAGGGACCTGTGACAATTTGACTAGCACTTCTTCACGTATTTCTGGAAAGACGTGGCAGGAGCTTAGAGCTGGAAACTGAGGTGCCCTGCAGCCTGCCCTTCCTTCAGATTCATTTGACCTTGAAATTCAAACCATGCTGCTGCCTTTTCCAGAAGCCACAGAAGCAACACAGACCTGGGAGAAAGGGACAGTAAGGTTTGCCCGTAGGAAAAGCTACTTCCCACTGCAGACATTCATCCTTCCAGACTGTTTTGGCAGCAGACGCCTAGTTTTCCAAGTTCCCCTTCCCCTGGCATTCCATACCTGGGTCTTGATTTCATCCTCTATTTCAGTAGAAGGAGGCCAGGGGAAGAGGACAGCAGCCAGAGCAAAAGACAGAGCTGAGTTCGAGCTGTGTGTTCTCAGAGACAGGCAGACACATGTGCAGACACACGGCCCTGACTTAGACACAATGGGCACTTGGACCTGAAGCTAGAGGCTCAGAAACATGCGCTCTCCCACACATGCTCTCCCACATTCAGGCAGACAGACACACACCGTCACACCGTCTCCTGTCTCTCTGACAGGGACAGCTGCCTGGGCTGTTTTGGAGCTAGCCATTCCCCTCCCCCTCCCTCCTCCTCCCTGGCCCCTCTGAACCTCAGCTCTCTCAGTCCCAGGAGTTCAGACTCTGTGTGGGGGAGGAGGAGGAGGCCAAGGGGAGCAGGGAATAATGCTCTTCATTTAGTGACTATTAGAGGGAAGCTGCTTGGCTAAGTAAGAAGGCATGAGCATGCTGGAGCTAGGGGATCAGGTAGAGAGATGATCTGTTATGGGCCAAAGGAATTGGGTTTGGAATCAAAAGATCTAGGTTCATGTCCTGGTAACCCTCAACTTACTATGCATCCTTGGCAAGATATTTCATCATCTCTAAGAGGGAGATCATAATCCCTTCTCTGCCTGCCTTTTCCTTTCCCCTCCAGATGGGGTATTGCTATGTAGCACAGGCTGACCTCAAGCTTGTGATCTTCCTACCAGGTGCTAGGGTTACAGGTGTGTGCCCATGACTCTGGCCTCATTATTATTATTATTATATTATCTATCTATCTATCTATCTGGTTTTTTAGATGGAGTCTTATGTGGCCTAGGATGGCTTTGGGCTCACTTACAGCCTAGGATGACCTTGAACTTCTGGTCTTGCTGCTTCTACCTCCTAAGTGCTGGGATTAAAGGTATATGCCACCACCATACCTAGTTTATGTGGTGCTGGGAATCGAACCCAGGGCTTCATTCGTTTTAGGCAAGCATGCTGCCAATTGACCTACATCCCTAGCTCCAAAGTATAGCTTGGGCTGTCTCATGATCCTCCTGTCTTATCATTAGCATTTGCCCACTGCCAAGCACCACCACAATTGACCAGTATTGTTATAACAAGTTTCAAATAACATATAGCTTAGATAAAAATAAAATTCATAATATTTTTCTAGTTCCTTCTAGAAGCTGAGCACTTAATTAGCCACCCTTGCTTGGGTGGCTCACCTCCCCAGACTTTGTGTCTCAATGAAGAAGTCATCCTGTGAACATCAGTGAGGGATACAGCGCTCAGTCCTAAAGAAACAGCAAAACGGGCTAAGGAAGGCAAGCAGGGAATAGCAGCTGTCAGAGGCTGGTAAAGAAAAAATAAACCTGTGTGAGACTTGACTGAGCTCATAACTGCAGAGAGGGGCTGGGAAGTATCGTGGCACTGCAGAGAGAAGGCGTGCACACAAATGCCAGGGTAGGAAAAGATGAAAGGGAGGGCACAGAACTTAGGCAAGCAGCCTCATGTCCGAGTGGGCTGGTCAGGCAAAGGCTGGGGGCGCCATGTTGTTATCTGAGTTGGAGACAGGCTGACTAAGGATTAAGCTCCCCCAAACTGCTAGAGGTCAGGAAGCTGGGGAGTTGGGCCAGGGGCCAGGAACTTCATCTAACTCAGTGGATAGGGAGGGTTATGCAGTAGTGTGGAAGCTGCATGACTAGTTGATGCTGGCAGGGACAAACAGAGCCAAGAGATAACTGTGGTGAGGAATCCAGCCCCAAGAGGGTTTGTCTGTCCACTCCTTTTGACACACTGTGTTGGAGATGCACAGTTCAGCCTTCACTGGCATCACGGTGGCTAGCCCAGGCCTAGGGAAAATAGAAGTGCAGGTATCTTTTGATTCCAAAGACTGTAAGTCTGTAATGGACCACCACCAACAAAATATTCAGGAGGCAATCAGGCAGAGGCCAGATCATAGGTCACTGTGGTCCCCAAGGAACACAAGCTCATAGTAAGAAGGAAACTATCATGGAACCCACTTACAGTCCAAAAGCCAGGAGGAGATCAAAGGCACTGGGAAAACCCAAGATAAGTTGAAATAAGGATCCCGGAAGCAGGAGGAACAGCATGGAGGGGATGGGAGAAAATCCTCATCTTGCAGGGAGTGGATGAGGAAGAAGAGAAGCAGAGCTGGGTTGTGGGCTACGGCTCTACTCAGCAACCTGAACTGGGAACAGGTGAAAACCAAGGTCCTAAACTAGTGCCCGGCTATGCCATAACTAAAGCTGAAGCAAATCCCTGGGATGCATATAGCCTTCTATTTACTTGGGATACACAGCACCCAGACTCTGGTCTGCTGAACCGCAGTGTGCAAAGGGGAACAGACGCCTTTTTATCTGCTCATGGCTTCAGGATGAAACCCAGCAAGCAGCTCAGGTGGAGGCAGGGGTAACTGGATGGACTAAAGTTATCAAAGTGGTGAATCACGGATCAGAGAAACAACCACACATGCTTCTCAGTGTCCATCCCTTGCTCCTTCTTTTATCAAGCATTACATGTGTGCTAAGGGGGTTCCCAAGGACTGTAGTTCACAGACGTTAACTTGCTTACAGTCTAGGGAGGCAAACAGAACATATGAAGGGAGAACAGAGTCCATGGGTCTAAACCTTAGGCTGTGAGAGATCAGATACAGGAGCCCATATAAAGAGGTATCACGTGTTAGGGCTCAGAAAATGTAGGTACTTGGCTGATATGGTGATTGTGGAGAAAGAGAAGGGGTAGGGCCTTCTAAGTAATCCAAACGTTGGGGTTGCTTAAAGGGCAACACAGAATTCATTTGATCAAAGGCTTAATGTGGTACATGAGAGACCAGGATGAAATAGGGCTTAGATTGAGGAGGGTCCTGGTTCAGAGTTGATACAATCAAAGCTAGAGTGTTCTTGACCTTTCTATTGGGGGAAAAATAAGTCCTAAATTCAGGGAGTGGGCACTATGCCTGTAATCCCAGCACTCAGAAGGCTGAGGCAGGAAGATCAAGTGCTCAAATCCAATCCAGCCAGGGCGATCTAAGGACACCATATAGGGAAATAGAGGCAGGGGGTGAAATGGTAGCAACTCATATGAAATTTCTTTGAGATCTCCATCTTGATTGAACCAGGCCCCTTGTGCACGCTACTAAGCCACTCCACCTCTACTAAGCCACTTGCAGCACATCCCTAGCCCCTCTAGCTTAATTTTAAGACTTCAAGTTGATTTTGCACCCTATTTCGTAAAGCATATTCATATTTACAGCCCAGGTCTAAAAGTAACATCACCACACAGGGAAGGTGGGCCACAGGCAGCC